TCAACGGACATACGGAGGATATGGCCTAGCCGACGTAAGCGATTAAGATGCAGTACACCCTAGAGTGAGGAACCGGAAGGCTTCTTGCCAAATAACCAATTGGCGAACCTCAGTATTGTTCATCCTATGTTCCCACCAGACGTGAGCAATACCCCGCAAGCACCGGTGGTCAACCACGGCCAAGCTTTTAATGTCATCACTACAAATTGGCCAGGGCTCTGATCCATGCGGTAACACCTGTCTTATCGCAAGGTTATGCACTCTACCTTTCACGGACAGTCCGATATCCCGCCGTTTCCGTAGATGCTTGTGTCTAGAAAGTCACACGATCCTTGCTGATATGCAAAGTAACTTTCTCAGTGATGTGACTAGTACAGGTGACACAGCTACCAAGGTAACTGAGCCGACCCACCATTTCCAGTGGCTGTTCGCTGATAGCTAGAACCGGATATGTGCCGGTCCAGTCCTACGGCAGTACTTTTCACTTTGAAGGTTCAAAGCGCGTGCCGAAGCGTGCAGCGCCAAGCATCAATCTAACCAGTAGTGTTTGCATACCGCTGCGTCAGACCCAAGAAGAGCAATGTCGTCCAAATACCCTAGGTTTGTCAGTTTGTCACCCACTCCGGTAGAGTCTGTAAGAACAGTTATGGTCATTCCGATAACAAATTTGAAAAAGGAAGGAGATTTGGGACAACTTCTGCGAAACCCACTTCTCGTGGGAAACTCATGAGACTGTTTCCCGTAGACTCTTACACAGCCTCGGAGGTCACGGCACAGACTGCATAATGGGAAGGAATTTAGCCCGCGCGTCCTTCCTGGATAGACAGTGCTACATGATGGCGCGGACAACAAAGTCGAAGGCGGCTTTTAAGTCAAGGAAAACCATCATAATCGGTCGTCCGTATGTGTCTCCGCTCTACAACTGAATCAAGAGTTAACATGTGGTTAATACAAACACGACGAAGGTAGAAGCCAGTCTGGTTTTCAATGATGCTGTTCTCACTTCACATCCTTTTCCCATTGATTTTCTGTTTTAGTATGTCCGCAGTGTTAGTGTAAATTGCCGAAAATGTTCCCACAAGGGTGTATAAAAAGCTTATCTTGAGTTGACTTGACAATGCAGTATGAGAACACATAGTGGTTTGTCCTACTGAAAGTGCCTGTATTTCCTGCTATCAGATAAGGCATGGTATAGTGACGAGACTACATCCCATTTCGATAAAAGAGGAGCAGGTCCTAATCACTGTATAGTTCTGGTTAAACAACAAGCTTTTTCCACAGATAGGAGGTAAACGGTGATTCCTGCTAACGTGTCCTACTTGTAAGTTTGCAAAAACAGTGTCTTCAAACAGCAAATTTTTACAATTAAGGTGTTTATAAGTATAATCGAGCAGATCAAAGCATTGCCGATACCTTTGTTATAAACTGAGGTGTAACTATCTTCATAATATCGCTGTAAATCTATTAAGAATGGAAGTAAATAATAATTGACGAGCCAAATATCAGTTCACTCGCCAAGATTTCCGTCAAATTGTGATTGGCCTATCGGCATGCGATTGTTTTATTTGTTATGTTTTTTTATTTCATCATATTTTATATGATTCCTTGTTTCATTGTTGGCCATGACTGGGCTGATTTCTTGTGGTGACGGATTACAACTTGCAAACTAAACTACTTATACCTATGCAAATTACACAGCTGCTGACTCGCTGGCTTTTAACAAAAAAGTGCCATACTTGATTGCTCCGCATGACGGAACGCGCTGAGGCTTCATCGCCCATGATATATGCGTAAAACAGCCCTTATGAAAAATATTTGATACCCAGCTGATGGCCTATTTACTATTTTACCACACATGTACAGAGCCAGTTGGAGTATCGAAGCTCAGGTGAAACCCACGAGAGAATACTCTGCATGGAAGCACGTCCCCTGGGGACAGTTCTATGGATAACCGTATTACTTTACTTGAACTTTCGGTTAAATCAATATTTGTCATTGAGCCCAGTTTATTAATCTCTCTAATACCTTCAAACTGCTAATCACTACAACAACCCACATGGGAACCTTTGTACAAAACACGTGCAATTAACTATATAATGCGATCACGTACAGGTTGATCAGACCACGCAATTGGTCTGTGCCTCGCACTACCGAGGAATAAAACGTTTCTTTATTACTTATTTATAAGTTATGTTAGCGAGCCGTGCAACTTTTAGTTGATGAAACGCATATTGCACCGGATATGTTCGAGATTTATCTTCTGTCATCTGTCGACACCAATGACAATTGTTAGCTGCGATTCTTCTTGGGATAGTCGTAGTCGGCCAAAGCAGAAAAAGTGTTTCACCTATCAGTCAGTTCTGGCGAAATGTTCGTGGGTGGACCAGCTTAATGTAACTACGTAAGTAAGCTAAAGTCCATTTCAATTTGGATAGGTACTCGATTATCTGAGGTGCATAAGAAGTAGTTCCCGTATTTAGCGTGCAATCCTCGATTTGGCTGCAACTACAGTGACTGGTAACTAGAGTGGGCGGTCCAATCAGTGGACAGAATTCCTCGAAGTTATGCGCCTTACTGTTTTCCGTTGAACTATTGAAAGACATATAATTACGGCAAATCAGATAAATTGTTCTTTCTTGCTGTGTGCGGCACCGACTGAATATTGTGTGCAGTTTGCTTTATTGGTCGGCGTGAAATATTTTGTGCAGTAAAACCATTTGACCATGATAGACCAGAATGTGAATGAACTTAGTTAATTCCTCGGTGGACGTTGTTAACTTCGTCTATGATCATCTAAGGGAATATTTTTCCGGTACCAGCAACTAGGCATCTTCGTGTTCAATCGACGGTGACGCGACATAACTACCGTACGATTGGTTGGAAGCCCAGCAATTGTTCTCTTGTATACTATGTAAATTCATTACCTGGACTTCTTTAGCAACTAAAAACGAAATCGCAATTTTCTCTTCCACTTCATACGGAATTAAAGAATCAATTCATTACCGGTCAAAATCAAGCAATACTTAGGTTGTTGACTTCCTTATAAGTTAGCAGCGTCGAACCGCATCCGACATACATGAACTACTTGTTGCAAAGAAATATTGGCTTTTGCTATGTGGAGGCACCATAATGAACCGTACCGATGTAACCCAACAACGATATTTTCCTCTGGAATCCACGCAGTCTTCCTTCATTGTGTTGAGGTTCATACACTGAATTTTTATGGCTGCATAACAAGGCCAACACCTGACTCTATTCTTTGGACGTCAGTGTTATATTCTGGAATGAACGCTCGCATAGGGTAAGGGGAAATTATAATCACTGGAGGGAGGAAACAACATGGACGTACAGAAATAAAAGATGGTTGCATTTAGCCCGGGTGTGCGCGTCTCCACAATACTGTCCAGCTTCCCATCACTTAAGATACTAGGTCACTACTAGTATGGTTAGGCTAGTCGGTTATACACCGAAAAGCACGCCCACAGTGCTTCATTTGCCGTGGCGTCTAAGAGAGCTGACACACACATGCAGAGCCAAAATTTAGTCTTCGTTGTCACATATCATTGCGCATGGAAATAAAAACACCGGAGACTTATCGACCATGACTTTTGACGAAAAGGTATCGGATAGGCCTTTCTGTTGCAGAACTGCGCATATCTCTCTATTTCTAACAATGTTACATCGCATGGGTTAATGTACGGGTGATACTGTTTACTTGGTGCACTGGCTCCTGATCAGTAGTACGATGTTGCAATCGCCTTCGGTGTTTGATCTCTGGCGCTGCACAGCGGTGCGTGACTAGGTAGGGTCTCTTGCCTTAGTCTTGGACCTGCTGTATTGTACTGGCGAATCTTGCCATCAAACCCAAGTTGATGGACCACAGCGTACCTCCATCTGTGATTTCATCTTCGCTAGGATAAAGTACTAATGGTATATTTCTCCTGAGGAAGGAACGATATTATTACACCACTCCATAATGTAGAAGGAAAACACGTAATTCTTGTAGTCCTCTGCAGTATAGGTTGAATTGTTTAGAGACAGCGTGATTGCACATCCCAAGCAAGCTAATGCTCCATCGGCTAGTTTGTACCTATAACCTAGTATCTTGACGCAAAATCAGTGGTTTAGGATGCGTCTTCTTGCGTACGTCTGGAACACCGCCTGTTCCCAACTTCAACAGCATACGGTCACTGCCAAATTCAAATACTCCCGACTCATACCCAATGTCACATCTTGCTATTGCTGTTCCATAGTTTTGTTATCAAACCAGCAAATGGCCACAACTATTAAAGAGGGCTATTGTACGGAAACCCAGGTTCAGTGATTAAAAACCGGGAAACTATATAGACTACCTCGGGTGACCAGATGATTTGCTTTCTGTCCAACAGCTCATCTCTCAAAGCTTCCTCCGTGTCCCCTTAAGTAGCTATCTCGCTTAATTTGTGTATTCTCGTCAATCTGTTTTCACGGCAAACAAGTGCTTAGTCCCAAACGTACCGATCTAGAACTCATATTGGTACGTCATTAAAGAGGTTAGAAGTCTCAGCTTTCCCCTTTTCCTTCATATGTCAGAAATTATTTGGGATGAACCAAGTGGCAGCAGATATTAGAAGCCCAATAATATGGTTTGGCGAACCGCAACAGCATGGGATGCCAACCAGATGGATCGGATAATCAAAACTGCAAAGGTTGCATTTATCATCGATGAAATGGTAACGGGTATAAATGTAACATCTTTTCGACTACTTCGTTAATGTATCTCTGTAAGTAGCACTCTGATTTCTTCGTTTTTTGGAAGTAAGTCCCATGTTTGTGTAGCTTCTTGCTGTCTCTTGATCTCATTGAAACAATAACCTAAGCCGAAGGTTATGCACCTGCTACAAATGACGCTGATATGTTACCATGATTCTCTGACTTTAATAGACAGATCGAAAGACGGAAAATACTAATTACATTGTCTGTACAAAAATACAAATGGGCGTAGATAGTTTCATATATAAGGCAGAGTTATATACTTTCTGTAAAATATACAATTTCATCTTTGTTATAACAATAGACTAGTTTCAAGACATGCTTGTGATTCTTTATTGATAATTATCGGGATAGTTTCTGAAACTTTACAATACTAGCTGGAAATTCAGCTTGAAAGGCCTATTGATAGCTTGTTTCAGCTCTTTTTCTTGATATGCATTAAGAGCTCTCAGTTCTATCATGCATTTCCCTTCAACTGAGTCTACTGCATATGAATAAGGATTTAACACAGTGCGTAGGCACGAATGTCGGGTCCCAGTTGAACCGGCAGCAGAAGACGATAAACCGGAGTGGAATGGTGTCTTTTTATTTGCACGTGACTTTCCACTGGATTTACCAACGTTCGCACTAACTTCGTCCTGCAGCGAAGTGAGAGACACTCCGGGGACTTCCGGTTCCAGGTAACACCTGTTAATATGCATAGAAATGACAAGGGCTCAGTTACGTGAAATGGTTAATGGGTTAGCAGAAGTACAAACACAGATAAAATGACAAGGTGGATTCGGCTTTATAAAACAATTCAACGTGCAGCTTTACCAATTGCAGTGACGACAGCTGACATACATGAGCAAAATAATTGGTCCCTGATGAACCATACCAGTACGGCGACTATTTGTTGACCCTACCTCGTGGACCTGACTGATTGGTGCTGTATACTGAAGTCCAGCATATATGGTGCATCTGTCCCTCGATGCCAGCATTTGCCCACTTCCAATCAGACTGTCAACGACGAGCCAATCATCCATGAGTCATGGGCCCGTGAGCTAAACAACCTACTCATGATCATACATCTGGTTGATTCCTGATGTCACTGAACCAAATACCACCAGCCTTATCCATGTATGAGTTTCTTTCCACCTACTGGGATTAGTACAGGTCCCAGTGATTGGCACTAGTTCATCCCTACACCATTAATAACTAGTGTTGCTTTCATTCTTACTTACCTTCACATATGATCACAATCAATATGATGAGCTGTGAAACCGGTTTTCTGCAAACTTTGTCCATAGAGGCGTACTTTGAGCTAATATTAGATAGCTGACAAATTCATCAGACTGTCTGCCAAGGATGCATTTTGTTAGATTGTGTGTGGAGGATAAGAACATAATTAATTAATAAAGGTGCCTTTTGTTAATGCCCACAATAAGCTTCAAGGCTACGCAATTTTAAAACCGACTTCGCTAATCTATGAGTTAAGCTTGATCTTGATAAAACATTTGCTCCCTCCTGAAACTCGCTGTAAATGTACTGTGCTAATTTAAGTTAGCCAGACTACTTGATCCGAACAGCATTCTATGATCGATGGCCGTGAATTTCACAGTGCTTCAAAGCCCTACTCATTCGAGAAAACTCAATATCTATCTCTAAATGAACAACAACTGTTTGTGATATTGCTACTACTATGAGGCTAGTTACGTAATGTAGTCTTCTCAGCAACCGTAAGGGGTTATATTTGAGCGAGTAGGACATAAAACGATAACCGTCCACTATGAGGATTAAATTAATGCGTTGCAAAAACGTTCGTTGGTTAACGTGAGTGCGGTTGCAATTTACTAGGGCAATATGCTCATCGTAAAGAGTTTGAATTCATCATGTATGGGTTCCATCAAGCAGACCCTATGCAGGGCAGCCAGTCCATTTATGTAAGCTGAATGGAACGGAAAAACTACGTTTCCTCTTCTCATCGAGAATCTAGCTAGTTCAGCTCATCCAAAGAATTTCACCTCATCTGGTGCTATCGAGCTGGATGATTAGCCAAACTTTAGACAGCAAGGCGCACTGACCCGAAGAAGATAAATGGGCCTGCAGCACAACGCCGGCGTCAATGTAACGAACAGTAGCATTAAAAGCTTTAACAATGCCTCGCATATTATAGTACCTGTGTCATTTAAACACGAATGTTTGTTTTACAGGACAAAGTTCTCCCTACACAGCCCCGTTAAACGGCAGATACGTGTTTCACCCAGCGTCGTAGGCGTCAACCTCATTCGTGCACTAGTTTCCGACATTTTCTACCATCCAGCAGCGTACCAACTGATGACTTGTACCCTCTTTTATAGATGCTTCTCGTTCTTTGATCCGAACGGTATTTAAAAACTGGCACTGCCTCTTTTTTCATAAAGCGAGAAGTATGCACCTCGTTAAACTCGTAACAATCCTTGTACACTGTTATTCTCTTCAGATGTCTCGATGGAAGAAGTAATAACCTATATTTTGAAAGCAACGGTCCGTACGCGACACGCGCACACATGTGCATGGAGATTTTTCAAACCTCTGTAGCGATAGAAACAGGTGGCTTCAAGTTTAGCCTAGCAATGTACATACTTTTTCAGTCAAAGAACTCGGTGAATTCCAAGATACTTCAGAGTTCAAGCTGGTTCTATACTTGTAAAGAGAAGGTCTAATTATTGTGCATAATCTGTATTTTGATCAGAGGAAGGCACGTCATATGACCTGTCAGTCACAACAAGCTGCACATCGTCTGGTCCGTCTTGTGTGTTTATGTTGATAAATATATTTCCTGTCAACTACTGCCAACTCAAATTTCCAAGCATCTTTTCGCAAGTGGGGATAGACACCAAACAGACAAATCCCTTCAGACGACGATGGCTTGCTTATTTGAGGATTAACTGCAGTTTGTTTTTAAAAAATTCCCCAAGTACTGTAGGCATTCCAGACAGATAGATGCTAAATTTGACAAGATAGCACATAGATGGCGCGCTGAATTTAGTTCTGTTGATAGACAGCGGCTATTTGTCATGATCAACTAATAGGCTGCAAGTGAAGCAAAATATAAGTAGCTGATATTTTGCTTTATCATGGCTAATCGCTATGAGAAATTTTCGTTATCTGCAAACAATTTAAAATAGGCTATTATCTTCTAACGGCAAATAACTACCAAAAGTGCGAACTCACAGGAAATCACAATTTGTGTCGCCATATGTAAAAAGCACTTGTAGGCTAGAGACCGGATCGATCCATATCAGATGGCCGTCTTCAGCATAAAGGTGCACTAAATCTGGGTACAGACCGCTGAAATGTAGAACACAGTATGGATCAGACTTGGCTACATAAATGTAAAGAACTGTGTGAAGTAATACTATACAGCAGAATAGGAGCGATATAAGTCCATCCCGGCACATACATTTGGGAGATCCAATGGCTTAACCGAGTGTGACTCGCTAGAACTCGGTTTTCTAGACCACGGCATATAACTTAGTACTACCCGTATTCGTCCACACCTACCAGTAGATTCATTTCAGAATAACCCAAATTCGCCGATTGCGTTTACCTCCTCCAATATGCTTGCTTTGGTACGGAGCAATATGAGTTGGTTACATTTTGTGGGTTCCATGCGTTGTGCTCTTGTTGTTGTTAAGCATCACAGTTTGCTGCCAATAGGTCGTATGACGTCCACCTTGACATGCCATGTGCAATTCGACACGATCACAGCTTGCCTACGTGAAAATCCATAGGACATCCAAAATATCACGAGGCAAAATCGTCCATTAATATGTAACCATATGTCAAATGCAGTCACTTGAGAAACGGCTTGAACGCAATTGCTCACTCTCCTCGTCTTCCTGTGGATTAGAATAAGTCTAAACCGTTAGCTGACTATGCTAGATTGAAGCATCATGCAACTGACTGTCCATCAGATTGATCCCAGACGTGTTAATCATCATCGTCCAAACTTTCTGGCTGGTTGTGCTCAATCCATTTCACGGCTTAGATAATGTTGATCAACTATAGCCCATACTTATATTGACCAGCTCATTGTCAGCGACATTTGTTTCACATTGTCAGACTGGTTGTAGCAAATTAAGAGAAATGAGCTCTTTCAGCAATTGTGTAATTTTGTCTGTTCACCATGTGACCTGCCGCTAACATGTGCTGCACATAGGACCCAAATCCTAAATGAAAAGTGTTAGTAACCCCTGAAACAGCGAATTAAAATCGCACACCCAACTGTTATGGAGAGCTGCACATGTGGAAAATATATCAAGCTGGAGCAATAGGACAACGGTGGGCAGGAACGGTATGTCGAGTTCCTCTGTAAACGAAAAGTACTACGAAAACTTACCGTTCGCTTTCGTTGGAACAAACTGAACAGCGAATTCGTGTTCACTATGCAACACCACCGACCAGAGAGACCCCTATCGACCGTCGACGGCATTGCGAGCATCTTTTCGTTACCGATCTACATTTCGTTTGTAGCACATACAATTCAACCGGCTACGAATCCCATTGACCTGCCTAGGATGTGATGTAACACAACACCTTATAATCTATAGTATTTTATGTGAACTGTAGCGCATTCCAAGTTGTTATAGTGACCAGATTGGGTGACAAGGCTATGCGTCTAAACCAAGTGCAGTAGGATTAGTACAGCTGAGTTCTGGACTTTGTGAAATGACAAGGTTGGCAAAATATAAGCCATTCAAGACCGATTTATATTCAAAACCTTCCGAACTTATCAAAGCGCCATATTGGTACAACTAGTTTACCAAGTCAAAAGCGGACGAGTGGTATCTGCAAATACACATTGCTCGCTTCCTACTATGTAATAAAGCACTGTTCTTTTGCAAGAACTTGTTGTAAGCGCACATTTGGTTGATGGAAATCTCTTAGTAAAATGCATCATTTAAGACCCAGCTGTCAAGAACATCTTGCTTCTGGTATAATAGGTTTGCATGCTGCATGACCCACTGGGTTGCGCAATGTAGACTACCAGATAGGTAAACGGGTAGTCCAACCGTTAGACCGCAAGTGGGGCTTACATATTATCCGAATATATGGAGAACATTTATTATAATCCCTTTATTACAATAAAAGCACGGATCAAGTTGCCATGTAACTGAACTGCAAGAAAAGTGCACACATTCTAATTATTCTTAAATGCGACTTCAAATTTAAGGTAAAATGGGGCTCAGCTTTATTTCACGCTTGTTGGTTGGCATTCCTGTTAACTGGAATGTGATACTTCTAAAACTAAATGTTTTGTAGACCATTTAACAAACAGCAACCGTAAGTCGGGATTTGCTATTACACCTTCCACAATGTTCAAGAACTCCGTGCAAATTTCACGTTTTCCGGATACATATATGGCTTTCACTTACTACGGGAATCCTTGGCCTGACTCATGGGTGTTAGTGTAAAAATGTCATGTTATCCTTCTGAGACAATAATTCGTGTAGCATCAGTGCGTGGGCCGCTTATTTTCCATAGCACGTCTGCTTTCCTACAGACCTATTATAATTTTTGATCATTTGCTAGATTCTTCTAATATACCCGTACAGAAAAACAGATCCAACGACTGGAAATTAGAGCTCATCCTGAAATCAGTAAGTGGTCTAAGAAGACAGTCTGTAAACTAAAACAATGTTTAAGGATGACAATGTAACGAGACTAGGACCTCTAGATTGGACAGCCAAGGTAAATAACAGATGAATATTAGTCTGCAGATTCCTCACACTCAGTACATTTCGGTGTATACGTGCATCATATTTGAACTTTGCAATCGTGTACCAGGTTAATGCTCACCGACAAATAAATCGCCCTGGCCTCGAAATGATCCCCATCGTGTTCTCCACAGTCCCGTTTGCATGCTCATTTAATAGCTGTGGGTCATCCGAATGTCCGCTAACTACGTACTGCGACATATTCAGACTTCCTTTTCCACTTGATGCGGTGCAACACAACGGTCACAAATCGTGTGACCTGGGTTCATTTATACCCATTACTCTCACGTCGCCACTGGTACGTCCATCGCTGTAAGCGGATTGGCCGTATCGAAATTTCGTATGTTCGTCCCCAGTTAGGCATACTTGCCCCATAATCAGCCTGTCCAACTATCTCTATGTGCATGTAAATAGGTGCTGGGGTTGTGGCAAATGTAGAGTGGCACGCAGCAAGTTTTGGTGGAATAAGCATTTAAATTTGTGATAAAAATATGGCGGGTTATATTCAGTCTGACATTATGATAATAAGGAAATATGGCATTTGTTGTTAATTTTTATTACAACTATTTAATGTGAAGGCTAAAACTGATTTCTTGACTGCGGTATGCTAGTCAGGTCGGGCTCAAAGATACTGGTTTTAATACGCAAGATATCATGTGGGTGAGGAGCACAGCCTAGTCCTCACAAGATTCTTGTTAAACTTCAAGTTTCAGAAGGCCTGCTCACACAAATATGTCAAGCTAAACAAGCTGAGCATTTTCTTAGCAAATGTCCTTATCTCTTTGAACCTGCCTTTATTCTGGTGGCGGTAAAAATCCAGGAGAGAGAGATGTTGGCCCCGACTGTAACATTCAACATCACTTTGCAATTCAATGAGCTGCAATCGCAGGTGGCCGGGAGCATTATCATGGTCCGCAGAGAAAGGTGAAAAAGGAAGCCCGATTGGCAGAGGCTGACTTCAAAGTCAATCGAGGCGACGGTTGTGATTACGTGTCGCAATCCAAGACACACGATAGTTGATCCAAAACCCTAAAATCAATAAGCCCGACCTCCTTTTCAATGGTTGCAAAGTCTTGGAAAAATCTTTGGAACTCATCAGCCAGGGATACAATATCTGTGACGTAGTTCTGTATTTGTATATTGAGGTTGCTTCCTAGATTACTTGTCATGCTTTCCTATAGTGATGGTATTAGTTTGCGTTTGAGACATTTGCCTTTGGAAAAGTTGCAGTTTATTCCTAAAGGCTTTTATGTGTGCATGCAATTGGCTTACCACTGCATTTTGATCCTGAAAGCTCGTGTTTAACTGGTTCAGATACCATGTAACACCAACCGAAAATCAAAAATCAGAAGAGCATATAGGAGCAGATACTTCTAACATTGATTGTTCCTTATTTCCCATGAATCGTCCAATCACTATTTTAAGAGAGTAGAAGCGATGAAGTGCAAGCCGTTGACTGAACCATCTTATATCATTGTGATACACAGTATCAGTATTCACTATGGATATCGAGTACAACCTGCTGAAACTGATGAAGAAACAGGGTTTTGGAGCAAAGATGGTTGATAGCTTTTATCACTGGCTTCATAACATGATCATACCTAAGATGTTTGGCACAAATAACTTGATGGTGTGGGATGCAGTCCAGTTAATCACTTTGTCCCCGTCTGCGCTGAGTTTGTTACAAACAAGTGTGGCTAATCCAATTTGCTCGACAGTTACGGCTCCAGCACCGTCAGTAATCAGTCCAGATATATTTCATGATAGTTTAACGGCATTGATTGCAAAAGAAACAGAATCAAACAAATCTATTATTCTTGTTTGATCCTTAAGACTCAAGTAATTACTCACTCACTCACATGTCATCTATAACTCCTTTCAGAAATATGAGAAGCTGGTCAGTTTCAGATGTATCAGTTTTTGCATCACAGGCTATCGAAAAAAGTAAAATTATACTTCTTTTGTCCCTTATCATATTGCCTCTTATTGTGGGAGGAATTGTCTTCAATTCTCCGAACCACAGTGTTGCGTGCCGTGCAAACATCGGCAAACTTTTGCTTCCTCTCAGGACAGATATATTCCACCATTTTCAGCACACATGCCTCGACAAATTCGCCTTCAGTAAATGGGTTGCAGTTTCACTAGTAGACTTGCCATCTCATGACTTGCCTTTGTAGCATTTTCATTCCACTTACCGAAACTTGCAAACAAGCTTTGCTGTGAGCATATTGCAGCTTGCAGTTGTTTCATTTGCTCAGTTCGTTCATTTGCAGTAAACTTGTCGTAGCATCGTCCGGTTGGTAGTGCTTCTTGATGTTGAATTCCTTGAAAACAGCCACACTCTTCAAGCAAATCGAGCACACACACTTGTTCAGCCGTTCAGTGAAATAATACTCTAGTTTCCAATTTTCTTAGAAATGACGCCCTTAGTCACTACATTTTCCTTTTCAGTCGCATTCACCATTTTAGAACAGGAATGAACATCTAATAAGTAAAAAGTTAATGAATCAGTTTTTATTTTTTGAGCTTTGCTCAAACCCGTTTATCGTACGAGCTGTGCAAATGGAGTAACTTTTAGCTTTTCGTAAAAGTAAGTGATCAGTAGGATGAAACTGTTGTGTCTTAGGAAGTATTCTAAAGTAAATTATGGCACAATGACAATTTAGAGACTAGCATAACCCATAAAGCAAAAATCCAGAGCTTAAAATGGGATAGGTTTAGCCAATGATATACATGTACATAAATCTTGTAACGAACCCATCTTTTTTCGTTTTCTCATTTAATTAACACTCCTTTAGCAAAAGCTGTAGATGGACTCTTTCTAGCTGGTTTAAACTAAGCAATACTTCATCATTCATTATTTTATGACGCGAATTCAATGATCCAAAAAAATAAAACAAGCTTGGATCGCAGTAACTAAGGTGCTATTAAAATGTATACAGTTAAGTAACATTGTGTGAACCTCACTTGTTCAGGGTCCCGCTATATAACCATCAACAATTAATTACAGTCGCACAACACGAACGAAATTGCTCTTCAAGCCGGACAGCCGGAGGACAAGTCAACACACGATAGATGTGTGAAAGTATTAACAGGGACACTGGCTACTATCTGATGGTCCGATCACAGTGATGAGTTACCAACAGGCACACATACAAGTAAGCAGATTGGAGAGTTTGACGACCTGAGCTATGTTGCAACACCATGAAGATAGCGACATCATACCAGGTGCACAGGGCGTCTGTTACCGGTGACGAAACTAACAGTGGTCAAATACCGTCAATGAGGGAATAAAGATGAACCACTGGACAAGGGTTGAGCGTACAGAGAAATAAACAGTTACTAAGATAAGTGCATGGGAGGTGGTATGAGGTTGATCACAATATCCGGGTCCTTGATGACATATTTCGGTGCACGAACTGTCCTCACAAGCACGATGAGAGGTTATTTTAATGGTCAGAAAGGCCAATCAAAATGCCAAACATCAGTAAGTTCCAGATAAAATTACCAACCATGCAAGACTCCGATAGAGCGATGTTCGCCAGCATCTGAGGTCGTGAAGTTTTTACACATGATGTAATTAATTCGTTGTAGTCTATTTAGTATCGTCTGTACAGAAAAGTCCAAGCTTGAATTTATTATTTCATGATGAGGTCGCGGGACAGTTGTAATGTTAACGCGGGCAGCATTTGGCCCGCTGGCCGGACTTTGGACACCCCTGATCTACAGCATGGCGCACTCCTAAAACGCATTTGACTCCTGTCTCTCCGGTTTGGTTATTCAAGTGTCACCTACAAAACAGCAGAAGTCAAGCCGTGTTTCTATCAAACATTTAGTTAGCATCAAGAAACGACACACAGTCGCGCAAGTTTCATCCGTATGTATAACCCACAATTGTTGTTTCTTCATGAGATATACCGGATTGGCAACACAGCATACACCCGCCTACGTAGCTCAACTCGTGGACCAGACCGGTTATCACAGGTGTGTACGGACTGTTGCTGTTAGTTGGCCATTCGGTTAGGGTCACCATGTGTCCCACACTTGTGCAGCCCGTTCTGCCGACCAGACCGATTCCCACATCGCGCAAGTACGGTTACCGTGTAAACGCTCATTCGACACTAAGCTGAAGATTAGCTGGACATTCAACTTTCTATGCTTTCACCGCAGTCATGAATACGGGTACCTAGGGAGGAGCCTATTTTGCATTACCAACTATACGTAACCATGTGAGTAGGGAGGTAATCTATTTTCCTTTATGTAAAAAGGGCGAATCCAATAAATTGCTGATAAAATGGGTTGCGAAAGCCCACTGAGCACACTGAAAGCAGATTGGTCGGATACACATAGTTTGATCAAGTGGAGGTTACAGTTGCTATGCTAGATTGCGGCGATAGAAAAAGTACTTGTTGGCAACAGCGTAGGGGCAGACAAGGAGGAGGTCGAAGAGCACTAATACAAATTTAATCCAGTTAGCCTATAACTGCAAGGAAATAAGTAGGATAGCATTTGTGCGTGCACCATTGTATAGGCATACGGCTCAATGACAGTATACTGTTATACAAACAATACAGATATTTGCTGTGTGGAGCAGGTTGGACATCACGGCAACGCAAGATCAGTATCCAACTCGTTGTAACTGCAAGTGTTACCTTTGGGATTTTGAGTCTAACTCTTTGCACCATGGTGTCAACAAACGAATGTGCCTTGACTCTTGAACTATTCGTGTCATCCGTACTCCATCAAAAGGGGAAAAGATCAAGATTTCACAAATATTTACAGCTAACCAGCTTAATGTAGCTTTTCGTGATTTATTACCTTTCTCCCATTTGCTTAACAGTCGTGCCGCCGGTCTAGGAAGGACGACGAAAACACCGAGATGCTGACAATTGAACATGCATAAGAATGCCGACATGTTACCGGTATAGTCTTCCTCAAAATTGAGACCTATCATAGATAAACTTAATCTGCTTCCTTGCGGTAATATAGTCTAATGCATGGGTAAGTCTGGTTAACCTCGAGTGACGAGATCGTATACAGGACTACGGTAGCCCTCACCTGGATTCCCCAAGGTATGTTGAGTTCGTGTGGTGTAGTTCATCAGTTCCATGCAATTTCATTCTTTGGACGGTCATTGTTGGCCGACCTATCTGTTTCATATAGTTTGGCTAGATACACTTGCTGACATGGTTAACAGCCGACCTCAGTGGCGTTCCTGCTGTGAGTTTCTTTGTTCCTCCCCATCCCTTTTAGCCTCCACCTCCAACCATGATCTCATTTCTCAGCATAATTTAATTTTACATCATACTTTTTCATGTTGGATATTAGCTAGCTGGTAGCTTTCCGAAAGAATGTCCATCCGTTACAGGTAGCTCAGCTGGCATGCAACTGTTGTGTTAATTTCTCTTTTCTTTTCCGTATTGCGCCACAGTAACTGAGGTGTTTTATACCTCTATCTGACGTGTATAACGATAATGTGATTGATGGGAGCATTGTCAGATAAACCACTGACAAACACGAGCAGGCGGACGATGCGCTTCCATTTTGGTGCGGTAAATTTGTTGACGAGTGACACTGAGTCGACTAGTGTAGTGTGCTCGACAGTTCGGCATATGCATTACACTACCAAAGTCCAGCGTACTTTTACAGCTCTACAACTGCATAACACCAGCCTTCATTGTTATTGCATAACTACTCAAGGTTAACGATTGTTTAACTTACTCAGTTTGCTGTTTCATCACTGGGATAAAAACAATAAGGAAGTGCTTAGGAGGACAATGGTTTCCCGTATTGTTCCATCGTTTTAATAATTTGTGAAAGCAAGATATGTGGTCAAGTTTATGGAGTGCAGCGGTAACGTGAGACTTACAGAAGGATGTGTCCACCACGGGTAGAACGTATTAGCAGAGCGGTTGACTTTGGTGGTCAGTACATGCTTAACACCACCTCTCTTTGGTAGCAAAACCGACAGGGCAATTCAGAGATACACCAGTTTTGCGAATACCGTGGCTTACATTGAATCACGTTGAGATTGAATTGTCTGCTTGAAACAAGCCATGATCCTTGAATGCTAGTCGATCGGCTACCTCGGCTTGAATCGTTCGCCAATAATGCACTTGCTAACGCGGATTCATGAGATATCTAGCTGACCATATTTCGACGTAGAACGACGGAAATGTTAGGTAGGCTTGGCTTAGCCAAAGGGGATTAATATTTCTGGCCACTGCTCATGGTGACGGACCAGGTAGATAAACGGATACCCGGAGAAATAACGAACTCGCTGTGTCATTAGCACTCTTTTGATCACATCGTTACAACATGCTTTCATGTCCTCCGTCCTGCGATTATAGCATCTTTTGAATCAACTATATAGCCTGAAAACTATAGCCTGAAAAACTATAGCCTGAAAAACGTTTATAATGCCCAACTGAAAAATACAGACCATTAGAAACGATGAGCTACTTACGAGAAGAACTAGCTGAGCCGACCAGTTCACAAAATCAAACTTAATTTGATCATTTCAATTCAGGTGAATATTCAGCTGTTAAGTGTCAAAAGAGATGTAAAGTTCTATGGGCAGGGAATTCCAGGGCGAGGCCTAAATTGGCAGCTCACAAGGAAGTTGTTCTGTTTGAAAAGTTTTCATATCACATTTCTGCAAACGCTGTAAGTCTCATATACCTGTAATGTGCTTTATCAATACTTGTCAGTTCATGAACTGCCACCGCCGTATTGGTAAATGTGCCTATTGCTTACT